TATATAAATATAGTTATTTCTAGAATAAAATTTAGAAGGATATACGAGTAGAAAGTATCTAGTATATATTATATTCGGAGCCTATTCTAACTCTAATACTCGGATATATACTTATAACTTATATAAAGTAACTTATATAAAGTAAAGCTAAGCTATAGCTCTCTCTAGCTAACTAGTTAATATCGCGCCTAGAATATAGATATAGAGCGAAAGTAGGCGTTACGACTCGAGCTATTATAGCTTAGAGGCTTAGTAGCTAATCCTTTCCTTATACTTATATAGACTAGAGTTATATAAAGGAGAATAGATTAAGCGAAGCTAAACGAATATAGAGGATCTCTTATAGTCTTATATAGCTCGTAGCTCTTAGGTTTAATATTATAGATATAGAAGTAGCGAGCTCGACTTTAAGCTAGAATTTTATTACTACGACTAAGAATTCTAAGGAAATAGTAGTAATTACTAGTACTTAGAACGTACTATAACGTAGCTCTATCGTTATTCGGGTAGATCGACGCTAGTAACGTAAGTTATATTAGATATAATCGACTCGCTTAAGTCCGCTAATAACTCTATACTATTAGCTTTCTATTTAATATATTCTTCGTCTATTTTTAATAATAAAGGACTAGCGCTCTAATAGATAAGTAGGTATATATAGTAGTATAAGCTATTTTCTATATCGAGCTACTATTTAAGTAATTTAGGTATTATATATATAAGGCAAGTCTAGTAATAATTAAACTCGTACTTACGTAGCTAAAATTTTACGAGATTACTATACTAATACGTATATTAGTTATTACGTACTATCTCGTAATTCGAACGTTTTATATAGTCTATTAGACGAGCGCCGGTATTATCGCTAGTTCGTACTACGTCCTAGTATACTACTTAGGCCTTATTCGTATTTAGACTAGTATATAGTTAGCCTTAATAAGGCGCTTTCCGTGCTCGTACTAAGTGGTTATAAATAGTAGTTTGTCCGTAGAATAAGGCGTTTCTTATATTCGTATAATCCTCGCGATCTACTAAGCTTGTTTATTTACGTATTACAAGTCGCTCTATTGCCTCCAGAAAATCTTCGCAGGACCGCCAAGCCATGCCTCTTCTACCTTGCCGTGCATCGCCTCAATGTCGAGAGATTACCTTCTATTCTAAGCTATTAAATCCCTATCACATCCCTAGCTATCACCACTGCGATATTGCTGAGCCTGCGGGATCTGGATTCATTCGACGCCTTTGGAGGCATATCGCTCTCACACTCAGAGCAAACGATAGTATTTGACACTTGCTAGTTATACGCGCCATTCCGCAGCGTCACGATAGGCAGCCATTCATCATCCTCTCCCGTAGCAAACTCGGTATTTAGTCTATCTGGACTTCGAAATCGTGAGACCACGAATGTTTCAACGCCAAGAGACATTTCCTCCGAAATGCAGCTGCGGGACCTGGAAAGTAACTTGGGTTCAGAGCCATTCGCCATGGGCAAAACCAGCAAGACGCCGAGCTCGACTAGCGATGCTACCCCCACCGAAAGAGTTGAAGCTTGGGACTTGGACGTGCATCACGATGTACCGTACGCCTACAATACATATGTCATTTTGATGCATAACACCTAGCGTGCTATTACTCTTGGGCCGGATAGTGCGCTCCAGCTCGTGTCGATCGGTGTGGCGTCCATAGACACAAGCAATCTTTGGCAGTGCGTCTGGAAGGATGAATATTTCGGCTTCTTCAAATCAGAAAGCTTGCAAATATATGGGTCACAACGGTACATTATTTGGCGAGAGCAGCATCTGCGCTCGCGTCTCTCATTTGAAGGGGCATGAGCTGTTTACGCCACGGCGCATTCCCAAAGGAGGCTATGAGCTGTTGTTCCCGGACTGGGGGAGTTCTTTACTGGTGGTTAGTGTTGTCGGGAAGGACAACAGGCTCGTGAGGACAAAACACGGCGACACTACATGGGAATTTGTCAAGAGGGATGAGCTCTGCCAGAGTCCTTGCTCTCCGGACTTGTAAGTCCATAGTCTGGTTCGTCTGGCTAGCAAGATGATCGGGCGAACCGAACCCCCTACTGATACATCCAGCGCAAGTTGTGGCCACCACCATGTTTTTGGTCTTGAAATGCCATGCAACGTTCGATGGCATTGTTGAAGACCGGATGTAGATAGGTTATAGACACTAAGAACAAACCTTCGGGTACAAACACGACTACTGGACGGGTGCGCAGCTACTCGTACCACTACCACTGCAAAGCCGAACTCTGCTACAGTAAGAGCAAGGACGGTTTAGCTGATCTATCTGACCTCTTATAGAGTAGAAGTTGCAAAGAACTATCTTCTGCCCTACTTAACACGTACGGTCTAGTAGACACAAGCACCACAGTAGCCGCACTCTGAGTCGCACGCTGCAAAGTCTTCTGCCTCTCGTTCAAACTCGTCATGATCGAGGAACTCATGCTTTCCAACAAGTCCGCGAGGTCGACGGTGTGATGGACTGGCACAGCCGCTTTCTCCTTGATTGCTTTACCGCCCTGGAATTTGTGCAACATCCCGACCTTCTTCTGTGCAGGTGTCGGCTGCCAGTACCGCCACCCTACTGGCGCCTCCGCCATGTGCTTTCCCTTGCTGTCGAAAGCTTCGGCCTGAGACTGCTTGATGCGTCTCTCCGTCTCCTCCACGATCTTGTTCCACCAGGCATCACAGAGCTTTGGCCGGTACACATTCCAGAGATTTGGCATGTGGATCACGTCCTGCGTGCTATAATCCAAGATTTCCTTGGCCAGTGGTCTCCGATCGAACACAGCATAGTCGCCTCCGTGCTCTGGGGCGAAAAGCCTACAACCCTTCTTCTTGACTTTGTCCTATTTCATTTTCTTAGCGCTACTAAGAGTCGAATCTCTCTCGATACATTTTGCAAGTCTATTAACATGTTTTCGGTTAGAGATCCTTGTAGTAAGCTGCATTAACTAGAGATCGCAGATTCCTTTAACACGGACGCCGTACAAAGCGTAAAGCGCGTCCGAATTATGCTAGATATCGAAAAAGACCTTAGTAATGTCTATAGACTCGAGGATCTGCTATAGCGTTCGTCTATTAGTAGCTTTTATCGTAAAAACCTCGCTATTTAGCGTAGTAACGTCGACTAAATATACTATATCTCGCGAGTATATAAGTATTATAACTAGAGAGATTATACTATAATAGGATAGATTTTTTCTCTTAAGGTTAATATATAATTTTAGTAGGTAGCTCTTATAATCTAGAAGACTATCGAGAAAAGTAACGAGAGCGCTATAAGTATTAATTAAGATAGCTATTATAGCTACTATATCGATAAAAGCTCTCGAAAAGAACGAAATATAAATATATAATCTATAGTAGCTAAGCTCTACTAGCTATACTTTAACCTAGACTAGAGCTATAGTAGCTATAAGACGAGACTAATAGCTACTACTATACTACGACTTCTAGAACTTTCTACTTATTAACTCTAGGTACTTAAAGTAGAGTACTAGCGACTCTACGAATAATAGCTCTAGACTCTAATAAAATATAAAGTTTATATTAGATCCGTATATAGAGATAGCTATAAAGTATCGATACTAGTCGTCTTAGTCTAGCCTATAACTTTCTATAAATAAAGGTTCTTAGGTTTTATAAGTTAATACTACTCTTTCTTCTTATTAAGTAATAATTAAACTTTTCGTTAATTAATAGAGAGGAGATCGCTATTCGTAGTAGTACTATATATATATACTCTATAGGTAGCTAGATATATAAGAAATAATATATAGTAATCGTAGATACTTATAATATTATAAACTTTATCGATATAATCTATATTTTCGAAGTAATTATTCTCTTCTTCGACGTATCTATTAGTAAGCTTATTAGTTATATAAGTAGTATAGATAGTAGTACTACTAATAATAGAGATAGTAAGTAAAGTTAATATTAATATATTAGTAGTAGTTATAATAGTAGTAATAGTCTATTCTATTTTAGACTTACTTTTTAGTTATTATTCCTCTATCGCGATCGTAACTATACTTCTATAGGCCTAGACTAGGCTAGAGGAATTCTAGATAGCCTACCGATACTATTATAGCTATATATAGACGCTCTAAGTACTATTATACTAGTAAACTCGAAAAGGATACTTCTCTCTATAGAGAGTTT